TTGAGAGAGATATGAACATCTAGATCCAGGAAACTTAAAAGCCCCTAAATAGATTCAACCCAAAAGATCCTCTCCAGGGCACGTTTTAGTCAAACTTTTAAAAGTCAAAGAGAATTATAAAAATAGCAAGAGAATATGTCAAGTCATTTATAAGGGAATCCCCATTACACTCACAGAAGACTTCTCAGCAGAAACTTTGGAGGTCAAGAGAATATAGAATAATTCAAAATGCTTTTTAAAAATGCCACCCAAGAATACTATACCCAGCAAAGTTTTCTTCAGAAATGATAGGAAAATAAAATATTTTCAGGAAAGAAAAGACTGAGGATATTTATCAACACCAGACTGGCTTTACAAGAGAAACTTAAGGGAGTCTCACATCTGGAAGTGAAAGTACAGTAACTACCATCATGAAAATACATGAAAATATAAAATTCACAGGAAGAGCAGATACACAAAGGAGAAAGAGAAAGGAATCAAACCTTATCAATACAGAAAAACACTAAACTGCAAAGATAAATAATGAGAAGAAAAAAGTTTAAAAAGAGTATACAAAACAACCAGAAAACAATTGACAAAATGACAGAAGTCCTCACCTGTCAATAATCATCTTGAATGTAAATAAATTATCTAATTAAAAAAGATATACTAGCCAAATTGGAAACAAAGAAAAAAAGATCTAACTGTAGGCTACGGATTAAAAACTTAAATCTAAGATTCAAAACCGTAAAAATTCTAGAAGGTAACCTAGGAAACCTCTTCAGGATGTTGACCTGGGCAAAGAATTTATAACTAAGACCTCCAAAACCAAATGCAACCAAAACAAGAATAGATAAATGGGGCCTAATTAAACTAAAAAGCTCTGTACAGCAAAAGAAATTATCAACAGAGTAAACAGACAACTCACAGAATAGAAGAAAATATTTAAAACTATATGTCTAACAAAGGACTAATAACCTGAATCTACACAGAACTCAAATCAGAAAAAAGGAAAAACAATCTCATCAAAAAGTGGGCAAAAGGCTGGGTGCGGTGGCTCACGCCTATAATCCCAGCACTTTGGGAGGCCGAGGCGGGTGGATCACGAGGTCAAGAGATCAAGACCATCCTGGTCAACAGGGTGAAACCCCATCTCTACTAAAAATACAAAAAATAGCTGGGACCCCGTCTCTACTAAAAATACAAAAATTAGCTGGGCATGGTGGTGCGCACCTGTAGTCCCAGCTACTTGGGAGGCTGAGGCAGGAGAATTGCTTGAACCCAGAAGGCGGAGGTTGCGGTGAGCCGAAATCGTGCCATTGCACTCCAGTCTGGGTAACAACAGCGAAACTCCGTCTCAAAAAATTAAAAATAAAAAAATAAAGTGGGCAAAAGACATGAATAGACATTTCTCAAAAGAAGATTTATAAATAGCCAACAAACATGTGAAAAAATGTTCTCACTAAGCATGAGGGAAATGCAAATTAAAAGCACGATGAGATACTTCTTCATCAGAGCCAGAACAGCCATTATTAAAAAGTCAAAAAACAATAAATATTGGCATGGATGTGGCAAAAGGGAATGCTTACACACGGCTGGTAAAAATGTACATTAGTTCAACCTCTATGGAAAACAGTATGAAGATATCTTGAGGAACAGAACAAGATCCAATCTCAAGACCCTATCTCATGTATATACATATATATATATGTTTATTTATTTATAAAAATATAAATATATGTAGAGTCATTCTATCATATTATCAAAAACTAGAACTTAATTATTCTAACTGTATTTTTGTTCCCATTAACCAACCCACCTTTTTCTTCCATCCCCACTACACTTCTCAGGTTCTGATAATCACCATTCAACTCACTACTTCCAGGATATCAATTTTTTAGCTCCCACATATGAGTGAGAACATATGATAGTTATCTTTCTGTGCCTGGCTTGTTTTACCTAACATAATGTTCTCCAGTTCTATCCATGTTGCTGCTAATGAAAAAATGTTATTCTCTTACATGGATAAACAGCCATATAAAATTCCACAATATATATATATATATATATCATGTTTTCTTCATCCATTCATTCATTGATGACCACCTAGAATTCAGTACTCTGTAAAAATATCACTTAATAATAAATTCTAAATAGACTTCTTCAGATAAATTGAAGTTGAGAGAAATCGTTTCCACAAGACCCAAACTATAAGAAATATTAAATGTAAATATAACCACACAGAAAATAAACATAAAAGAAATAGTGTCAAATGAATGCTTTTATCTATAAGAAGGGGTAAAAAACACTATAAGAGGTAAACATCTGTAACATAAAAAACTGCTTTTTCAAATTTTTAAGAAACTATTGACTGTCTAATTAAAATAACAATTTATGGTAAAGTTTATGACACATACAAAAGCAACATATATTTAATTATAGCACAAAGAACAAAGGGAAAAAGTAAATGAAATTATACCATCGTAAGATTTTTACATTGAATATGAAATGGCATAAAATTAACTCAAAGCAATCTATAATAAATTAAGAATATGTATTGCCATTTTTAGAGCAACCACTATGTGATAAACAAAAAATAGCCATATATTGTCTAGAGATCCTTCCCTTGAGAGTTAGAATCTACTTCCCCACTTTTTGAATCACGGTTATCCTACGCTGACCAATAAATGTGTTAAAGTGATGTTCTATGAGTTCTGAGCCAAGGTCTCAAGAAGGCTTACAGATTCTGCTCTTACTCTCTTGAAATGCTGCTCCAGGGTTAGCATTCTTAATGATGAGACACTACCTGGAATGAGCGACCTAGCCAACCCAGCCCACCTCACTTTGTCACCAGCCTACACTATGTGGAACAGAGACCAAGGCACCCCATCTAATGTGATTCACAAAATATTATGAGTCAATAAGTGCATGTCATTTTAAGTCACTACATTTGGGAGTAGCTGATAGTCACCAAAAGGATGTATGTTGTAACTTAAAAGCAGCTATTTTTTAAAAAATGATAAAACAAGTATGGCTAAAAAGCCAAAAGACAAGCTAAAACAAAATACTAAGGAAAAAAACTTGATTAATTCAAAAGAAAGGAAAAGAGAAACAAGAAAATAAAGAGAAAATTTGACGAATAGGAAATTGCCAGGTAAAAAAACTTAAAGATTCATATCAGTAATTCCATTAGATGCAAATAGATGAAGCAGATCAACCAAAAGATAAAGATTGCCATACTATTAAAAATAAGAAGATCCATCTATATGCTATTTACAAGGGACACAGTTCAATGAAAAGGACACAAATGGGTTGAAAAGAAAAGAATGAAAAATTATATGTCATGCAAACACTAAGCATAAGAGAGCCAGGGTGCCTATATTAATGTTAGACAAAAGAGACTTTGGAACAAAGAATATAACCGGAGAAAAAGAAGAACATCTCATGATAACAAGATGATGAATTTATCAGGTAGACACAACCTTACATATCTGTGCACCCAAAAACATAGCTTCAAAATACAATAATATATAATGTAAAGAAATAACATGTGATATATTATATATATTATGTTACATATTATGTTATGTATGTTTTATATATTATGTTATATATATGTTATATATTTTATATAATGTATAGAAATATATACTGTATAGAAAAAGTAGGCAAAAACATCATTTAGGATAATAAGATTTGAGAAACACTATTAAGCAACCTTGCCTAATCGATATATAGGAAATGCTACATCCCAAGCCAGCAGACTTCAAATTCCATTCCAGTGTATAGAATATTCACCAAAATGAATTACATGTTGGTCAGGTTTAATACATTACAAAGGACTGAAATCAAGCCAAATATGTTATTTTGCCAGAATGGAATAAAACTAGTAATATAAGTAATTAATAATAAAAAGAAGTTGAACAACACACTCCTAAATAACTCAGGCATGGATGAATAAATCATGCACAGGAATAGGAAAATACTTTAAAATGAACACAAGTGAAATAAACATGATTTTTTTCATTAGTGTTTTTTTCATTAGTAGTGTTTAGAGTTCTAAATAACTATAAAAAAGAAAAGAAAAATCTAGAATCAATAATCTAAGCTTCCAACTCAAGAAGCTAGAAAAAGAAAATCAAATTAAATCCAAAGAAAATCAAATAAAATAAGAATGAGAAGACATAAATAAAACAGTAAACAGATAAATGTCAATTATACCTCAACAAAGCTGCAAATAAAAATAGATTTTTGAAAATCCAACAAAGTCCATTTTTGTTCCTTGAAAAGATTAGTAAAAGTCATAATAACCAATAATATAAATGAAAAAGGACATTACTACAGATTCTACTTGTATCATAGAATATGAGATATTATAACTAGCAGGACAAAAAATTTGACAACTTATGAAACAAATTCCTTAATAAAGTTAACTTTCACAAACTAAAACAAGAAGAAATAGAATCTGAATAGTCATATATCTGTTAAAGAGTCATATATCCTGTTAAAGAAATTGAATCTATAATTAAGAACACTTCACTCCCACTCCATCCCCACGATGGGATAAAAACCCTGGATGCAGATGATTTCTTTTAGACATTAAGGAAAAAAATGCCAGTTCTATACATATTTCTTCAAAAAAATAGAAAAGGAAAGAACAATGTTCAACTTATTTTTTCAGTTAGTTTTATCAAGATTTAATCGATGTGAAGAGTTTTGCCACATATATATACCATCACCACAATCAACATAAAGGACATATCCATCACTCCAAAAAGTTTCTTCATGCACCTTGGTAATCCATCTCCCTCCCATCTTCCATTTTCATACACTTACCTGCTTTGTGTCATTATCGATCACTCCGTTCTGCATTTTTTAGAATTTGACATAAATTGAATCAAAAGCACTTCCTCACCTTTGTCTGGTGAGAATTTCTTATCGCCCTTTTTGCAGGGCAAATAACAGAGCTCAAACGCAGTGAATACTGAAACTAGGAAAAGATCCTTCTCACATCTTGTGGATTGGGGCAGCCTTGGGACTCCAGGAAGCAGTACTCCGGGCAAGAGAGCCACAATCCAAGCAGAACCAGCCTCCCCAGGTGTAGCTGAGAAGGAGGATGTGCCTCCTTCAGAGGTCTGCACACTGCAGGTATCATAGGCAGAGAGGAAGGGGACAGTGAACTTGTTCCATCCACATATGAAACATCCGCCGGGGCCTCCCAGACAGTTTAGAAAAGGCTACAAGACTGGCCCTCAGGTCTGCTCTGGAGCTGGCAAGGACAATAGGGCCCACGAATCCAGGGTGTTAACTCCAGGTAAGGCATGGAGTTTCCAACGTGTGAGGCACGTCACAAAGCAAATCCCTGTGAGTGGACACCCCCAAGCTTCAAGCAGCCATTAGAGTCACCGGACTGTCACTCACAGGCAGAGACAGTCCCCACGTGGCTGGACAAACAAGCAGAATTTCCCCTGGGCCGGTTGCTCGGCCTTTCCAAGGTTCCTGAACATGTTCTCAGGGCTGGCATGGGCAGAATAAGGTGTTGGACAATTTCTTTTTTTTTTTTTTTTTTAATTTTTTTATTGGATTTTAGGTTTTGGGGTACATGAGCAGAGCATGTAAGACAGTTGCGTAGGTACACACATGGCAGTGTGCTTTTTTTCCTTCTCCCCTTCACCCACGTTTGGCATTTCTCCCCAGGCTATCCCTCCCCACTTCTCCCTCCCACTGGCCCTCCCCTTTTCCCCCCAATAGACCCCAGTGTTTAGTACTCCCCTTTCTGTGTCCATGTGTTCTCATTTTTCATCACCCACCCAAGAGTGAGAATATGCGGTGTTTCATCTCACGCCAGTTAGAATGGTGTTGGACAATTTCTATTCATGGACCCGAATCTCCAGCGCTGCACTTTTCCTGCTCACTTGTGCCCCCTTCAGGCCAATCAGTGTATAGTCCCTGCGATTAATCTTCCCACTTGCCTCCCACCAAACTGCTCTCTGGAGTGCCCCGAGAGCCACAGTTACACCACTATGCTGTTGTTACTGAATTTCCAATCTCGGAATAACCACCTCTTATTTTTCACAGCACTTGAAAATTGACAAACCTCTTTTGATGACCTAATGATCACATTGAAGCTTCACAACAGCCAAGTGGGCAGGAAAGGCAATCACTCCCATTTTACGTGAGACAAAGGTGAGGCCCACAGACGTGAAATATCTGGCCCTGGGCTAGGAGTTGAATCCTGGGGACTATCTATGGTGTCACTTGGGAAGTGTCTGAGGGCTCACTAGGAGGATCTTTCTTCATGGCATGGGCTCATTCCAGTGGGCAGTTGGAGGGATGCTGTCTAACAGAGGAATCTCAGGCTTCAGCCAGCAACCCCGCATGGACACCGTGGCGTTGGGTGTCCTGGGCTTTTTTGTTTGCTTGCTTGTTTTTTCAGACAGAGTCTTTCTCTGTCTTCCGGGCTGGAATGCAATGACAATCTCAGCTCACTGCAACCTGTACCTCACAAGTTCAAGTGATTCTCCTGCCTCAGCTTCCTGAGTAGCTGGGATTACAGGCACCTGCCATCATGCCCAGCTAATTCTTTTTGTTTTTTTGTAGAGACAGGGTTTCACCATATTGGTCAGGCTGGTCTCGAACTCCTGACTTCAGGTGATCCACCCACCTCAACCTTCCAAAGTGCTGGGATTACAGGCGTGAGCCACGGTGCCCGGCAGAGTGTCCTGGGCTTTATTGGAGCTCATGGCCGGTTGTCTCTCTTGCTGTGTAAGGCAGCATGGGTGAAAAAGGACACAGTGCATGGTCCTTCTACCCACCCCTGTAGGGAAATACTTCAAAACACTCAGCAGCCCAGCTGCATCAATGCTCACCCAGCAAGTCAACAGGCAGTCCTTGCGGAAGATGACCTTCCCTGTTTCTTCAAGGCCACCTTGAAACTCAGTGCAGGTCTGGGGCAGGATCCAGGAGACTCAAGTCCTGTTTACTGCCTGTGTGACTGAAGCAAATCACCCGAACTCTCTGCACTTCCATTTCCCACCTGTATGTGGACCCTCATGGGGACTAAATAGGAAAGAGGTTGGAGGAGGCTTTGGACACTGTACCACAGTTACAGCCCCGATACTGGCCTTCTGAAGCCCTGACAGCAGCCGTCCTCTTACCTGCCCTCAGGTGCTCACCTGGACCTTTCTGGAGCCTTGACTGTGTTTGTCTCAGAGTCCATTATCTCAATCCACACTGTAGAGTGTGTTATGGAAGGGTTTTGCTGTTGAACTCGAGTTTGCAAACCACCAATTGAAGCCAATATTTTCCCATCACAGAAGGGGAAACTGAGGCCCAAAAAGAGAAAGGGATTTGCCCAAGATCACTCAGAGAATTCACAATTAGGAATAGAATTCAAGCCAAAACCAAATTACAGCTGAACCCTGCAACCAGCTCTCCCCTAGCCTGTGTCCCACTGAGGGCACAATGGCCAGCACACACACCCCAGTGCCAGTGACACTGAGAAGGGGCCTTCAGCCACAAACTCAGGAAAGCTGCTTTGCTGGTTTGTTTTACAGCCTCTCCCTGGAGACTCTGGCCTCTCCTGTGCATCAGCAGATTATTCCTGGCTTTGAAGATTATGGATTCCCCTGGAATCCCCGGGATTGATAATCCCTGAAGGCTCTGCATTCTCCAACAGCCTATGATCTGAGGGTTGATGGTGGCATCTAAGATTTATAACCCAGTCTAGGATCAGCTCATTCCTCTTTTGCAGCCTTCCCAGAAATTTGGAAAGTTGAACAAGTGACAAACCATTCCACTGGATTTCTTGATGTGTCTATGAAACATTTGCCTAGATTTTAATTCTGCTTGATCTTCAATATATACTAAATCAGTTAGGCAGGGAAGCAATGTTTATGAAATTATTTCCCAGGTGAAGAATATTTATTTCCCCTAGCATGCCTGAAAGGTAACTGACTGCCTGATTGTGACCTTTAAAACTCACCCCCAAAAATTAAATATCTTCCCAACCAAATTCTACTGAGACCTCAAATGCCACAGTTAAAAATATCCAGTTAGATGCAAACACTGTATTCTCTAGGAGGCGGGATAGGTTCATGTCATCAGTCATTCACACCCTAGTAGAAATGAGCTCATCACCTGCTTTTTTTCCTTCTGCAATATTGGCTGAGAGTGACACTAATAATAACTGTATCTATCATTTACTGGATATTTACTATTAGTAGATCCTTTGCATGGGCCAAGATCTTTAAGATTAAATAAATTAATACATGTAAAACATTTAGAAAAATGACTGGCTTACGGTAAGTGCTATATCAGTATTTCATATGACTGTTCTTCGCTTTTATTATCTCATTTAGTCTTCACAGCCCTATAAAAGATACTGTAATTAGTCCCATTTTACAGATGATGACATTGAGGCTGAGAGGAAATGCCACTCGTCCAAAGTCACATAGCTAATAAATAATAGTGTGAGATTGAAGCCCACGCACCTTGATTCCAGGGGAAAAAGAAAGTGCAGAAGCAAAGAGGAGGGAAACTGCCCTAAATAAAACTGCTCCCTATTTTATACTGGTTACTATTTCCAAATGCTTTCTGAGCACACCACTACTAGTGGTGTAGAGAACTGTGCTACAGCCACATGTACCATAGGCATGTGTGAGGCCCTAGCCCTGTCCTTAGAGACGCCTGCACTCTGGAAGAAGAGACAAGCACGAACTCAGATAATTATAACTCCAGGGTACCTGCATGGCTCTCAAAAGGCCTGTCCTGGGAGAACTCAGGGCAGAACAATGCAGCCTCAGGCCTCCAAATTAGAATGTTAGGTTACAGGGGCTTAGAATGATGTCTTCTAAGTCAGACCTCAAGACATCTAGCTGACAGGATAGCTTTTTCTACTTTTTTATTTATATGAAAAGTCTTACAAAGGCATGAAAGTAAGACACATTTTTTTATCTTGATTTCCTTAATTTAAAAAGTTGAAGTGCATGAAATGAGTCCATAATTTAAAAAGTTGAAGTGCATGAAATGAGTCCACTCCCCATGCCTGCAGGCTGCTTTGAGGTCCCATTCAGCACAGCAGGTAGTATTACACCCAAGACCCTTCTCCCCACAGTGCCAGAGAGAAGATGCCTACATCCTAAGCGAGTTCAGTTTTCAGGGGCTCTAGACCTAGGACTGTGTGACCTCCAAAGCTGATCCAGAGGAAAATGAATTTAAATTGCCTGAGGTTAACCTCTTCACAAAGGACCCTTGGGACTGATGTCGGGGAGATGCTGGAGGTGAGCCAGGCGTAGCCTTGGGACTGGAACGTAACAAAGAGAATCTCTCTCCTATATAGATGATAACCCAAGCAACCAAAAAATGGCTCGACCTATCTGGGTGTTCCGTCCTTTGTAAGGAAGAGGATGTCTCAGCTGAGCTGAACTCTGTTTGTCTAGGCAGGTCTGACTTCAAAGCAACAATGGTCGAGTCATTTCTTTGTGCCACGATGCTAAGCTCATGGATAATCCTTCTGAGAATAATTTGACTCCAGATAGAGGCCTTCTGTAGGGAAAGAACCCACTGACCAGCCAATGCAATGTGGGTCACACTAGAAGTTACATTTCTCACTCTTAGCAAGTGATGTCTGGTCTTGGCAATGACTTTGGGAAGGCTGCAGCAGTCACCTCTATACCAGTCATTTCTGGCTGAGTTCCTCGTTCTTGAAACTATGACGCCATCTTGTTGCTCATGCACCACTCACTATGAGATCTTTGAGACTGGCAACTGCATCTTGCTCATGTTAGTATATGAACTGGCATGTAGCTGTCACTCAGAGCACATCTGTTGAATGGGTGTGAACTGAGACTTTTCTGAAGCGACAAAGCAGACTGTAACCACCACCGGCACCTCAATGTTTAACATATGCTAAGTGCTACATTTAATTTGCTAAAAATCCAAGGGAATTCCAACTTTGTTACCTCTTAAGAAATTCCTGAGCATTTTGAAATAGCCCTTGCTATTGCCAACTCCGGTTTTGCAAAAACCCAGAGATCATTAAAAAATCAAAGGACCCACCTCATTTCACACAACTCACCAACAGAGATAACTGGACAGAGGTGGGCTGGGAAGCCAACGAGCTAGAAATGATGACGGGCACTGCCTCGACAGCCAGCAAACCTGAATCTTAAGAATGCTACTTACTAATCATGTGACTTTGACAAACTGGGCCATCTGTCTGAGCTTCACATTCCTCATCTATAAATCAGAGGTAACAGAAGTTAATGACCATGTATCTGACTCTTTGAGTCACTGTGGATATTAACAGTGGAATAATCAGGGCCTGGCAATTAACAAACCCTCGATGACTGTTAGTTGGAATTGCTATTAGTGATGATGATACAATGCAACTCTGGAAGGAGCAGTTAACTTCTGAGGAAAACCAGCTCCCACATCCTCTGTGTAATTTTGCCCAATATAAGGCCAAGCGTTGCCAAAAGCTTAGAAGTAAAAGAACTTGTCTGCACATATCTGGTGGGACCACTTCCTTATGGTGGGCTGGCAAGTCTGAGAGTAAGCCCCTGCACTGAGTGACCCGGGAGCTATCGTATAGGGGAAGGAGAGCAGGAGGAAGATGAGCAGCAGAGAAGAGAAAAGAACAGGCATTCACTCATGCACCCAGCAACTAAGACAAATTGAATGGATCCTATTTAAAATCTGATCAGAGAGGAAAAGGCATGAACTCGAACAGGCTGAAGTAGAAAGAGCTGGTGATGATGTGATGAAGGCGATGATCCCAGGGCTGGCATAAACCGAGAATTGAGAACTAGACCTCAGCTTGAGGAGCAGGGATCAGGGAAGGCTGCATAGCAGGCGTGGAACTCTTCAATAAACAGGCCATACTGTGTTTTACTCTTATCATCCTCTATCAAAAAAAAAAAAAAAACATGTGTCCTTGGCCAGGTGCAGTGGTTCATGTCTGTAATCCCGGCACTTTGGAAGGCTGAGGAGGGTGGATCACAAGGTCAAAAGATCGAGACCATCCTGGCCAATATGGTGAAACCCTGTCTCTACTAAAAATACAATAATTAGCTGGACATGGTGGCGGGCACCTATAGTCCCGGCTACTCCAGAGGCTGAGGCAGGAGAATCAATTGAACCAGGAGGGCGAAGGTTGCAGTGAACAGAGATCTCACCACTGCACTCTGGTGACAGAATGAGACTCTCAAAAAAAAAAAAAAAAAAAAAAAGTACTCTCTTAATTCATGACTGTTTCTTATCTTTAATATTCAGCTGACATAACACCATCCAGTCATTGCTTCTGAAAAGGTTTTTGCTAATAAACAGGTTAAAGGAAACCTACTACATCATATGGGCACACACGCTGCCCACCAGAAATCACACTGCTCCAACAAACGCTGCCCCTCTGCTACAAAAGCTTTACTGCTTTCCTTAGGTCAGGAGGGCTGGAGAGACTCCAGGTCAAGTGGACTCACTGGATTTTTATGTCACCCATCCCCTGATATTAGATTTTCTTATTTTGCTTTACTTATGTTTCTTCTAAATAGCAAATAACTGACTAGATTTTTAACCAGTCTGAAAATTTCCATCTAGTATAGTCAAAATCTTTACCCAGCTGCCATATGACAGGAGAGCTCAATCCTCCCCTCTTTGCCTCTGAAAAGGAAAAACCCAGATGAAGGGGCTGTTTTCAAAGGAGTGGGAAGTGGTAAGGGTGAAACACCTGAAGGTCAGCCACAGTAGGAAGCTGTTCTCATCTGTGGGGGAGGAGGCAGAGCTGAGGAAGGCAGCCACTGCCCACCCATGGCTGAGCAGAGAAGAATGAATATCCTCAGCCTCACTTTCCCCTACCCCCAGACTCCTATCAAGCCTCCCACCAGAAGGCAGAGGGCAGAGCAGCCACTTGACACAGCCCACCAAGATCAGCCCTTCAGGAGCTCAGAGCATAGAGAAGCCTGGAGAGTGCATCTAGACAGGCAAGTAGAGAATACAGCATACTCTTCTTAAGGAGGGTAACGTAACCTATCATTTAAGCTGACTGCTGACATGGTTTGATGCTATTCTGCCCTCTTACATAATTTCTATTTATTATGCTGAGTCATTACTTTCTATTGATAGAAATAATAGAGATTTTTATTTCGTTTTCTAGTTCTTATGCTTTCTCCTTTTCTTTTCTTTTCCTTTTTTTTTTTTTGAGATACAGTCTCACTCTGTCACCCAGGCAGGAGTGCAGTGGCGCAATCTTGACTCATTGCAACCTCTGTCTCCCTGCCTCAGACTTCCACATAACTGGAATTACAGACACGCATCACTACACCCATCTTCTTTTTGTACTTTTAGTAGAGACAGGGTTTCACCATGCTGGCCAGGCTGGTCTCAAATTCCTGACCTCAAGTGATCCACCCAACTCAGCCTCCCAAAGTACTGGGATTACAGGCGTGAGACACCACGCGCCACGCGCAGACCTGAACTTTATTTAATTTGATCTTTTCTTTTTTTTCCTTCTGCTGCTTTGAAATTTATATATCTTGTTTTTATTCTACTAACAACTATGTAAGTTTTTAATTCACTTGAGCCTCCCTCTTTCAAATAATGCCAAGAATTATACAATGTATAGAGAGAAACAAAGCTGTTAGCCCATCTCTATCTCTCTGCTTCTCCCACCCCCACTGGAAGCTATGCTGTCATTCTTTAGTCCATCGCATTCCTTTCTAAAAACATCAATTGGTTTCTTAGGCCTGAGCCCACAGGCTTTCAAAGGAACTGGAAACAGCATATATCAAAGGCCAGTGAGATAGTAATTAGGAATAAAAAGCAGAGAGGGAAAAATGAGGCCAACTTACAAGCCTGGTGAGAGCATCTGTGGATCCTGAGCAAGTGTGTTCAGGCCAGGAATATATAGCCCTATTCCTTCCCCAGATCAGCAATGGATCTCAGCCACACACCCCACCCCTGCCAGTTCTCCAACTCCCAGTTTCCAGTTCCCATCTTCCTCCACACAGTGTCCAGCAGCGCCCACCAGCCCTGGGTCCCGGCCAAGCTCTTGAGTCGCTTTAACTGGACCTGGGTAGGCCTGGTCAGTTCTGACAACAACAACTTTGAGTGGCTGGATCAGCAGCTGCAGAAGCAGATCGGGGACAAAGGTGGCTGCATGGCCATCTCAAAGAAGATCAGTATCAACAGTGAGGCCAGTGTCATTGTCTCAACCCCTGATGCCCCGGTCTTCGTCTGTGACTGCTACCATTTTCACTTCAGGCTCCTGGTCGAGGCCCTTTAGGAAAACAATATCACCGGGAGGACATGGGTCTTTTTCACCTCTTTCGCATATAACCCCTGAGTGCTGGGTCCCAGAACCCATGAGTTGCTGAATGGCAGCTTGAGCCTGACCATAGATTCAAGAATAATACCTGGCTTTGAGGACTTCCTATTGGCAATGTGCCTAGCCGCGTACCCCAGCAACAGCCTGATGAGGAAGCTATGGGAAAAGCTGCAGGGATGCAGGTGGTCTGGATTAGGGGCTTCCATCCAAAGAGCTAAAGAAGGGGCTTACCATCACATAGGGCTGGAGAACATGACCACTGCCCACTTCTCTGCCTTCAAACTTCCTGATCTAACTGCCACTCACCAAGCCTACCTGGCAGCCAAAGCCCCGTGGGTCACCTATTGGAAACTGATGTCCTGCTCTCAGGGAGAGGGACCATTCCTGTAAGGCACATATGCCAATGCACAGGAAGCCATGCCTTGTCAGATGAGCAGCCAAGACCCCTTTCCCAGTCCCTGTCCGTTCAGCTTTCTGTGAGCCTTAGACTAGAGAAAGGCCGTGTGGCATAATGAAAGGATTTGGAGTAAATCTTAATATGGGATTTCTCTGGGCCTTGGCACTTACCTTTCCTGAGTTTCAGCTTTCTCCTATGTCGATTGAGTATAATACATTGTGTGTTGTGATGAAAACAAGCAATCATGCATACGAATGCTGGCTGGTGATTAGTGCACGTTATGGGTTACAGCTTTCCCACCACTGCTAATCATGGTGATGACGTCAAAACTGCCAAGGATCTCAGGAATCTGCTGGTCCAGCACGAAGCAGGGAGATCACAGAAAAGGGGAGGCAGAGCTGGAAGAGAACACAATTGTCCTGATATCCAGGCCACGACATGCCGATGCTGACATGCTACAAAGACCATATGAGATTCACAGTAGGAAAGAGTTAACCACAAAGTTAGAAAACTGATAAATCTGCAATGTAGAACACGCAATCCAGCACCGCCACCCATTCTTCATGGCCGATAAGGACAGGAAGAGAAGGGAGGTGGTCTTCTCCTCGTAGTCAGAGAGAGAATGCTGGAACAAGCTCAAAGAGATGAGACAGAGTTAAAAGGACAAAGGCCTCAGCCAACAACATCAAGAGAAGAACACTGGGTTTTCAGCTAGAAGAAGAGCTGGGTCTGGGTGCTTGGTCTACTCCTCAGCCTTCTGTGTGTTCGAGGTCTCTTTTCCTCTCTGGTCATTAGGTACTTTCGTCAAAAAGACCTTGGACTGGGCAAGGTGGCTCACACCTGTAATCCCAGCACTTTGGGAGGCTGAGGTGGGTGGATCACTTGGGGTCAGGAGTTCAAGACCAGCCTGGCCAACCTGGTGAAACTTCATCTCTATTAAAAGTGGTGGGGGCAGATCAGTACTTTTTACAGTCTGTTAAGAGCCTTCTTGCTGCCTCTCATGGCTGAAGATAAAAGGGCAAAAAGGTCTAAGTTAGTTACTTCCAGCCCTTTTTTTTTTCAGGGTCTCGCTCTGTCACCCAGGCTGCAGTGCAGTGGTGCGATCACAGCTCACTGCAGCTTCCTGTGCAGGCCTCTTCCCCTGTCTGCAACAAAAAGTGTCCTGTGGGAACCAGGAAGTCAACCCTATTTGATAAGTCAAAATGCTGCTACAAAAGCCTTCCCTGCCCCAGAGGAGAAATCACTATGTCACCAGGTTAGGAGGGAGACTGGTCCTTGGTCAGAGGGCGGCCAGCCAACAGACAGAGTAGGCTTCAGATGAAAGCTATGTCCACATCAGGGGACAATTCCTTCAAAGGACAAGTCCAGGGAAGTGGAGACCAAAAAGAAGATGTCAATGTGACCTTCCCAGATGCTGCGTTAAAGCCATTTGAGGCTATTACATTCTTTCTTTATCGACCACGAGTTTGTCCAAACCCTGTACTTAGTTTAACATTTGGCACATGGTAGGCATTTCACAAACGTTTAAAAAGAATTCTTCTAATGACTTAATCTGTATTTTCCTAAGATGTCATTCATTCAACAGATATCAACTGGCACCAATCATATACAACCACGGTGCTGGATGCCAGGGTACCAACAAATAAGGCATGGCCCTGAACCCACAGAGCTCAGGATATACTAAAAGAGAGTGATACTGTCCCCCACAGCTAGCACAGCTCATCTCTCAATAAAGAAACTAGACTACAAACGGAAGTCGATGCTGTAATAAATGTTCAAGCTTTGAGCCATGAAAGCACATTGGAACAATTAATTCTAACAAAGGATAGGCAGGGGGACTTTGCAATGTAGAGGGTGGCATGTGATACAGGCCTTAAACAATAAGCAAGCTTTCAAAGGCAATGGAGCATAATAAGGATATTCCAAGCCAAGGAATAAATTATAGCAAAGCATTAAAGCAATAAGGAGCCAAGAGTGGTTTCAGCATCAACTGTGATATGAGATGTAGGAAGAAGGTGGTCAGATCCTAGAGGACCTTACCTGCTGGACTCAGGAGCGTGGACTCTGTTCTATAGAAAATGAGGAGGAGCCCCTGAATTACTTCAGTATAAAAGCAATGTGTATTTTGGCCAGGCTTGGTGGCTCATGCCTGTTAAGACCAGCACTTTGGGAGGCCAAGGTGGGTGGATCACAAGGTCAGGAGTTCAAGACCAGCCTGGCCAACATGGTGAAACCCTGTATCTACTAAAAATACAAGAAATTAGCTGGGCATAGTGGTGGGCACCTGTAATCCCAGCTATTTGGGAGTCTGAGGCAGGAAAATCACTTGAACTTGGGAGGTGGAGGCTGCAGTGAGCCACGATCATGCCACTGCACTCCAGCCTAGGCAACAGAGTAAGACTCTGTCTCAAAAAAAAAAAAATGTGTATTTCAATAGGTATCTGGTGGAAATGAATAGACAATAGATGTACTGAAAAGGAAGGAGATTAGAGCAGGAAGACCAGGTTCAGAATCCAGGTAATTGTTGTAGCCACAGGTTTGGACGAAGTGCCTTC